TTGGAGTGAGTGTGTGTGTTGGAGTGAGTGAGTGTGTTGGAGTGAGTGAGTGTGTTGGAGTGAGTGTGTGTGTTGGAGTGAGTGTGTTGGAGTGAGTGTGTTGCAGTGAGTGTGTTGGAGTGAGTGTGTTGGAGTGAGTGTGTTGGAGTGAGTGTGTTGGAGTGAGTGTGTTGGAGTGAGTGTGTTGGAGTGAGTGTGTTGGAGGGAGTGTGTTGGAGGGAGTGTCTTGGAGGGAGTGTGTTGGAGGGAGTGTGTTGGAGGGAGTGTGTTGGAGGGAGTGTGTTGGAGGGAGTGTGTTGGAGGGAGTGTGTTGGAGTGAGTGTGTTGGAGTGAGTGTGTTGGAGTGAGTGTGTTGGAGTGGGTGTGTTGGAGTGGGTGTGTTGGAGTGGGTGTGTTGGAGTGGGTGTGTTGGAGTGAGTGTGTTGGAGCGAGTGTGTTGGAGCGAGTGTGTTGGAGCGAGTGTGTTGGAGCGAGTGTGTTGGAGTGAGTGTGTTGGAGTGAGTGTGTTGGAGTGAGTGTGTTGGAGTGAGTGTGTTGGAGTGAGTGTGTTGGAGTGAGTGTGAGTGTGGGTGTGAGTGTGAGTGTGTGAGTGTGAGTGAGTGAGAGTGAGTGAGAGTGAGTGAGAGTGAGTGTGAGTGAGTGAGTGAGAGTGAGTGAGTGTGAGTGAGTGTGAGTGAGTGAGTGTGAGTGAGTGTGAGTGAGTGTGAGTGAGTGAGTGAGTGAGTGAGTGAGAGTGAGAGTGAGAGTGTGAGTGTGAGTGTGAGTGTGAGAGTGAGAGTGAGAGTGAGTGTGTGAGTGTGAGTGTGAGTGTGAGTGTGAGTGTGAGTGTGAGTGTGAGTGTGAGTGTGAGTGAGTGTGAGTGAGTGTGAGTGAGTGAGTGTGAGTGAGTGAGTGTGAGTGAGTGTGAGTGAGTGTGAGTGAGTGTGAGTGAGTGTGTGTGAGTGAGTGAGTGAGAGTGAGTGAGAGTGAGTGAGTGAGTGAGTGAGAGTGAGTGAGAGTGAGTGAGAGGAGGAGTTGGGAGTGCGTGAGGACTGAGGAGCGATACCCCTAACCAACAAAAACACCAACCAGTATATGTCATGTGTTGCGGTAAATGGAAAAGTGATGGATCATGTACTAAGCAGATATTACCGGGTATCCTGGATGTGCACTGAGCCATGCAAAGCGCAAGTAATACGGATGCTTTTGAGACCAAAGCCACTTTTTTCCAGCAGGCAACTGCATGCCAATCGCTTCCATGGATAGATGTGCAAATATGGGGATCGACATACCCACGGGCTGCTGGTTGATGCTGGTTTCACACCATGGGATTCTGCTCCACATCGATCAACGATCCATCGACGACCCATGATTTTCTCAGAAGGTTGCCGGAAACCATGATCAACTGAGGCTTAAAAAACAGTCCTCCCATTCTTGTTACTTTTTCTAGGGAAGCCTCATCATCCAAAAATGTGTAGATCTATGACTCAAAATTGCCCAAGCCTTTTGGATAGGCTTGAACACTAAACTGCATGATGAAATCTAGTTCTATGTCAGCCTCTATACATATTACATTAATAACGCATATGTCTATAGACATTCTATAGACATTTATAGTATGTATAGTAGCTGTAGTATTATGTCATGTATCATCCTAGAGTATCTCGGATACAGAATTTTGGGAAATCCTCATTTCGATTCGCTGCAGGACAGGCTGCCTATGATCTGGAACGAGAACCGGCCTGGTGTGACCGTGTGTTGCATTCCAAGGTCAGTGTCCAGCGAAAGAGCTCCTGGGTGGCGAAAGGTGGTCAAGCTGAGTCAAGTTCCGTTTTTTGAATGGGGATTTGAAGAATATTTGACATAAATTGACACTGATGTCAATGTGGGGTGGATTTTTGATCGAAAAATCATCATGAAGAATTGGAGTTGACAAAGTTGACCATCCAAAAACGGGATGAATCACCATGGTTTTTGCAGGCGCAAATTTCGAGATGTTCATCAGAAACAAGAATTGTGTGGTCAATCAACCTGCGAAATTAAAAAAAAAACAAGAAAATGGTCCAGAGACAAAAAAAGATCAAGAAATGGTTTCCAGTCAAGACTTCGTCAAGACTTCTCCCAATCATTGGTCAACCGTGGCTCGCGCCTGGCAATGCGTAGCACTTTAGAATCAGCCACATTCACCTGCCAGATGGTATTTTTTTTGGAATGTTTGAGAATTCCCAAATTGTTCGATGAGTCACCATGATTTATCATGATTTTCGGATGTTTTCCCAGAAAGTAATAATGCGGTTAAAACACTGCCATGAACCATCCCCCAAATCACCATAAATGCCATAAATGGGTGGTATAGATCATCAAAAATAGGATGGTTTATGTGATCAATGGCCATTTCAGGTTCCTAAATTGGAGGTACCTACCATATATAAGGCCTATGTAAGGCCTATGTAAGGGAATATCCCCACAAAATAGTGCCAAACATATGGTACTAACGTACCTCCATTTTAGGATCCTGAAATTCCCATTGATGTGACATTGTTTTAACCACATTATGGATTTTCCATTGTCATCTCATGTCGGAGCGCCTTGTTCGCAATGAGGCAATGGTGGTTAGATGTTTTGGGCCATATGCTCAGACATGCGAGTACTTGCCTCCCAAGAGTGGCCATTTGTTATGGGAATAATCTGGGTAAATCATTTGGTTGGTGGTTTGGAACATGTTTTATTCTTCCATTCAGTTGGGAATAATCATCCCAACTGAGTTTCATATTTTTCAGAGGGGTGGCTCAACCACCAACCAGTAATTAATCATGGTAAGGATTCGGGGAATTATCAATTAAATTATCCAACCAATCATACTTGGTGGCTCATCCCACTTAGTAAGTGGGTTATAACCCCAGTTATAAATGGGATAAGTAGGGTTAATCCACTTATAACTGGGGTTATAACCCACTTACTAAGTGGGATGAGCCACCAAGTAGTAATTAATCGTGGGAATTATCAATTAAATTATCCCACGAACCTTGGCCGAACGTTGGTGAATGAATTGTTGCTTAAAATATGCCGTCGTGCCGTGAATCTTGGCCGAACGCAATGGATTTCTCGCAGCTGACAGGAGAGAACGATCTCGGATCTATGGATTAACAACTTTATAGATATGTTTGTGAGTTTATAAACCCCGGGGTCCATAAATACTGACGTGGTATATAGATGTGACGTAAATATGTATAATAATGTATGTAAGCATTAAATACTGAAGAAGTGGTTGGTGATTTCAGTTTGTATGGAATATATTGAGATTTATGTTTGTTCTTTCATGTCATGTTCTTTCTATTCCCCACACATTGGAAGGAAATGGACGTTTTTCATGGTATAGTTTTTTCCTATCACTATCCCCCAAACAAATTGAAAGGCAAACAACTTCTAAGGGAAGTGAAGGGAACAGGGAATACTTTTCTAGATGTTCTCTCTTGAATCATCTGGAAGGCCCAAAGGAAAAAGGAAGGGAACAAGCAAAAAATATACCATCTGGTTATTTAACATAGCCATGGAAAATCCCTGATAAATGGAGGTTTTAATGGGAAATTCATCTATAAATGGACCATTTTCCATGGGTATGTTAAATAACCAGAGGGTACATGTTCTCCCTTGAATAATTTGGGAGGCAAAACAAAGTAAGGGAAGGGACAAGAACATACGGGAAGGGAAGGGATTAATATCGATTAATCAGATGATGAATCCAAAAAAATCACATTATCCTACATCTGGTTGGTGGTTTGGAACCATGGAATTTTATGGTTTTCCATTCAGTTGGGAATGGAATGTCATCATCCCAACTGACTTTCACTCCATCATTTTTCAGAGGGGTGGCGTGGCTCAACCACCAACCAGAATGGATAGTATATGGATACTATTGGACACTACATGGACACAACAAAAATACATATATAGTACCTACTAAGGATATAAATGATATAACCACATAGTGATATGACCAAACTTTTTTTTCCATTTCATATATGGGTTGTCATCCTTCCCATTGACGAACTCATATTTTTCAAGATGGTTATTGCACCACCAACCAGTGATCTTCTGCAATATGTGGGTCACAGGTTGAGGCGCAAAGCCTTTGCATCCACCTGGCAGGTTATTGTGCGCTAGGCCTCATGGAGTCAGACCATCGCCCTGTTTGCGTAGCTTGGTGCAGTCATCTATGGCATCTATGGGACGCATCCACCAGCAGTTCAATCCCAAAAAGGGATGCAAAACCTGGTGGTTACACCGGTTTCACCCGAAAAAAAATTGGGAAAAATTCAGAAAGAACGGGTGAAACAATGGGTGAACATGTTGTATAGGTCAAGCTTATGAATGGCTAGTTTATGAGGCGTTTGTTCTTGAATCTTCTGAAAACTCCGACTTGTGTAGGATATCTAAGATTGGCCGTCGAAAGAAACATAGCTGTGGTTTCAAATTTAGTTGCCCCAGATGGGATAGTTTATTACCAACCAGGACAGTACTGTAGCAATTCCGTGGGCCGTTTCCCGATTTTTCAGGACATGGAGATGGTCGGAATTGCATGAGTGTGCTGGTGTTTCCCTGCGTCTATTGGATGTCAGATATGTCAGCAAATTCAAAATTCCCTGTTTGAAGATGCCACGATATCGCACGATATCGCACGATTCTATGGAATGATGCCATGACTCTTCATTTTCTTCGTTTCTACGGAATCTATCAAACTCAACACCCCAAAAAAAAAACACAAACATCTCCAGATGTTTGTGATATATATTTTTTTTCGATCTTCATTTGGGTACCTGGTGAACTTCCTACAACCCCTGCAGTTTGGGCAGTGGCAGGCCCTTCTGGAGACTTTGTTGTTGGCAATGCCCGAAGTACGAGACTCTACGAGGAGCAGGGCCATGGCTTGAAGATCTCCATTGAAAAAGGTGATTGTCCCATAGTTTCCTATAGTTCTTCCGTAGTTTCCCATTGAAATCTTGCATTTATAGATGATTGATGATGATTGTCCCCATAGTTTCCTATAGTTTCCCATAGTTTTCCCATTGATGATTGTCTATTTGTCCATTGAAATCTCCATGTGCATCATTCGCAGTGGACTTCGCATTGCCGCGTCACCGGTATCCATTGGGAAATGAATTTTCCCCGAGGAAAATCATGTGTAGAGACCACATTGCCGACTTGACTTTCCTGAAGTCAATTGGACCCTTCTGGCAGAAGCTTGGGTGCCATTGGGTGCTTGAGGTCTGAACATTATGGGGGAAAACCATGCCATTCTCTGGTTATTTCAGACCCCAGGTGGACCAGGTGTAGTTTCCATTGGGTTTCGAACCGCTGATCTAACACTATGAATCCTTTAGGATTCTGACCAATGATAACTTAGACTTAGACCCCAAATGATTCAGTTGGCTACAGGAAGAAACGTATATAAAAGTTAGAATATTTCCAGACGGAATCCTATCATGATCATCATGATCCAAGTTTCACTTCTACTGTCCTACTGCACCTCGATGTGGCTCAAAAATCAGATCCAAGTGGATGATTTTCAGTGGCAAAACTGGATGAGGACACAAACCCACCTGGATTTCTCCATAAACAGCTTCTCTATAGACTGCCTGGATGTGGTGTAGGACAGCGGTTCCGAGCACCTCAAAGACTCCAAAGACTTCAGACTTGCCCGATTTGCTTGAGATGTCTGAAACTCACGAGGTGCCTCCCAGTGCCTCCAGTTGTACCAGTGGATGGCTATGGCTTGAAACATGTTGAAACACATCCGTTTTTGAGTTTTTTTCCAGCAAATTTCAAGGAGAAATGATGTCTAAGATACAGTTTGCATATGTTTGTCATATGCCCATGAAATTCGGAAAGTCAAATCTAGCATTACTGGCTGGTGGTTTCAACCATTTTTTCCATAATATATGGGATAATCCTTCCCATTGACTAAGATTTTTCAAGATGATTAAAACCACAAACCAGACTACTGTTTGCAGTGCGTTGTCCGTTCTTGCCTTGCCGCCATAGGTGGAGCAATCCACACCTCAGAGTTCGACGCAAGTTCCAGCGGAGGACGGGGCATATCAACATTCAAAACCACCGAAAATCATCGAAGATCTATCTTTTTCCTTTGTAATTTTACCTTTTTTTTGCCATGTTCAGTTGCAACTCTGGCGACGCTTAAGTCAATTGAAGTCATTTAGAGTTTTTAGACCTGGAAACTGAACATGATAAAATATTAACACATGTTCAGTTGTTGAAGTCATATTTTTTTTCCTCAGGAGCTTTTAGACCTGGACGTGTCGCCCATCACGCCAGTGCCTGCGCCAACGCCTGCGCCAACGCCTGCGTCAACGCCTGCGTCAACGCCTGCGGCCACGATGCCTTCAACAACCACGATGGGAGCGAAGGGGGGCCTGCACTGGCAGTGAATTCACAAGGCATGTCATGAGGTTTTGCAGAACATCAAAGAACTACAATCTGGTTGGTGGTTTGGAACCTGATTTTTATTTTCCCATAGTATATTGGGAAGAATCATCCCAACTGACTTTCATATTTTTCAGAGGGGTGGCTCAACCACCAACCAGATTATTAGCCATCATTAACCATATGCCATATAATATCCATTTATTAACCATATATAATGCATATATTAACCATTATTAACACTTGGGGTGGCGAAAAACCACCAACCAGTACAATTTGTTAGGATATCTGGGTAAATCATAACGACCTCACTGGAATGATGAGAATTGGATTGGGGAAACACTGGGGAAATCATCCTCAAATGGTCTTAGACTTCGGGTTAGTGACATATTTACCCTCCAGTAAATTAATATAGACCCTGCCAGATAGGGGTTGGAAGACTAGTTTCCACTATAAATTGGTCATTCTCAGGGTCTATGTTAGTTTACCAGGGGGTAATTTACCCAGGGATAAGGGCGGAATTCCCAGCAATTTATAACGAGGTATCCACGAGGTAACGAGGTGTTTTGTTCGCAGATTTAGCGATGTCAAGATGTAGATGGGGGTACATTCACTTCCCCTAATATTCACCCCTTAAATGGTCCAAATATGTGAACATCCCTTAGTAAACGGCTTCTGGGGTGATGTTTAATATATAATATGAATGGGGGAAGGGATTAAGAATCGTGACTTAAACCCACAAGAAATATGGTATGATGATTGTATCATTCGAATATGATGTGGATATGGATGATAATGTGGTCAAAGCAATGTCATAAACACATTAAAAACCACATAGGTTATAATACCACATGTTTATGAATGTAGTATTACCATGGTTAAACACATTAAATTCCATGACTGGGAATGGTAAACATCTATCCATCACATATATTTATGGTGATGACTGATGGTTGCCCCGGCAGCCCCCAGGACAACTGGTCTTCGCCAAGTACCAGGATGGATGGTACTTGGCCAACGTGATCCGTTGCTCGGTCTGGACCCGGGACACTGGAAGGGAGCCGATTTCTTACTGGTGCTTAGTAGGGAATGGATGGGAATGAGGGAATGGGGTTATTATTAATAGATATTAAATGATATTAGTAGTTGATATGGATATATATATATATTATATATATATATGTGTGTATATATATATGGATCATTTCCTCATTCCCTACTAAGCACCGGTAAGTTTTTTCCGTTTTTTCCAAGGCTTCCCAACACCTTGCTGTCAATACAATGTCAATTTACATTTGGAAAGTCAAAAATGTGAGGACTGACCAAAATGTTTGTGCGTGAATTCCCACCAAAATGGGTTTGTCTGAAAATATGGTATCTCCAGATATGATGTTTTATCATCCTTACCCCAAAAAAAAGACCTTGGGGTACAACGGTACCCCCCGTTGTGGGACAATCCCAATTAATTAGTGTCAAAAGTGACAGCTATGACTGTTCGATCCATTTGGGGATTGCTATGTCATATGGAGGTTTCCTAAATTCCTAAGTCATAGGGCTAGCCCCCAGTTCTCATCCGAAAATCTCGGATGTTCCCTTCTAAACCATCCATTTTAGGCTACCTCCATGGAAACCTCACGTCGCCACGTCGTTTCGCCACGTCGTTGAGGACCAGGTGGTCATACGGTGGATGTCGCATGGCTCCGCCCGCCGGGAGCGATTTGGGGAGACAAGGCTGGCTGAAACATGGGCAGATCTGGAAGTTAACAAAGGCCCTGCTGAGTTACCCATGGGTAAACCCACGAAATACCCTCTGGTAAACTAACATAGCTATTGAAAATTGCCATTTATAGTTGATTTTCCATTAAAAATGGTGATTTTCCATAGTTATGTTAGTTTACCAGAGGGTAAATATCTATTTCAATTTGCCATGGCTTCAATAGCTTTTTGCATGTTTACCAGATGGTAATCTATGGAAAATACCATCTGGTTATGACTAACAGTTAGCGAACTGGAAGATCCACCCATGCTATTAATAGGTAAAACCATCTATTTCTATGGGCTATTTTCCATTGCTATGCAACAAATAACCAGATGATAGATAGTGTTCACATATGTTATATTCAATTATATGTTGTGAGTTGTTGTTTCATTGATTTGTTTAACAAGTGCGTTTTTTGATGTGGAGAGTTTCTTGTCGTTTTTGGTCCGGACAAAAATAGACAGATAAGGATGTCCAATTTCGATGAAGGTGTTTTCCCGAGGTTGCTGCCAGATTTTCTGCTGTCCAAATTTCAGCATTTGCCATTTTCAAGTGGTTTATGCATATATGTCCATATATATTTCCATATATATTTTCCATATATTTTCCATATATTTCCAGCATTTAGATGGTTGGATTCCCCCCCCGCAAAAATTTCCACCTTTTTGGTGGATTTTTTTTATCCAGGTGGCTTGCCAGGCTCAGATGGCTCAGTACCTATGCTCCACCAATGCGGATGAAACGCTCCATGGTGATCAGCTGCCAGTGGCAACTCACATCAGGCCATGGGAGCCATACAGTTATGGTCATTGATCAGTTATAAGTACTAACAAAACCCCATTTATAGAATGTATAATCCCATTTATAGCCAGCTAACTGGTAAATGGCCATAACTGTAGGATGTCAGGGTCTTTTTTTGGGGATGTCTATGGGTAGAACCAATGGTACCAGATATAGCCTCTGGTAGACTCAAAGACATTGCGAACTGGAAGCCATGGCCATAGAAAGTTCGTTGATTTACATATTAAACGATGGTGATGGAACCCATATGTTCCATAGTTATGTTAGTTGTTACATATTAAAATGATGATTTAACCCGTAGTATTTTGTATGTTTACCAGCGGGTATGGGATTACAACATATTACAACCATCAGAAGTTGTGCGCAGTCAAAACTCGACCTCAAAGGATGATTTTTTCTGTTGTGATGGCCGACGGTTTGCTATGGGCCATGGCCAATGGCGGCCACACAAAAAGTGTTTGTTTCTGCGGCTACGTCATCGAACATTCAATGGAGCATTTTCCGCAGCTTGAATTGCCCGAAAAGAAACCCAAATGGTTTGGGAGAGCCGTGAAGAATTTGAAGATGACAAAACACGAACTTTTGATGGGGAAATAGGGCGGAAATGCACGTCGTAAATTGATCAATCAACCAGAATTCAACCATCTGGATGGTTGCATTGCTGAGTGAAGCTGCTACCGTAGCCATTTTGGCTCAAGCTCTCCACTGGTTCAAACCATCTCAAGGATGTCGAGTGTTGATGGCTATGTGGGGTCATCGGCTGGTTCCGAGCTGGTTGACTTGATTGATCTCCATGTGCTATGCGTCAATGGTGAAGGGTGTAGCCTGAACCTCAGTCCTTCCACTCTGGGCCTGGAAGTGCGCACGATGGTCTGTGAGCAACTTCCGAAGAAGAGAGGGGCAAAGCTGGTCCTCTACCACCTAGCTTCACCATTGATGCACCAGCAAACATTACAAGAGCAAGGCATTGAAGGGAAGACTGCGACTCTGTCCTGCACTTATGTTCCAACAGACTTATACGCAGCTTGGGAATACCTCCAAGGTTGCCCAGTCTCTGAGCCACATCTTGCGTTGGATGGGGTAACGCAGTTAGGATATTGGGACAACATAGGCATAGGGCTTGATGGAGTGACCTTGCCGAGCAGCTTGCAAAGCTTGACTTACAACCAAAGCCTTGATGGCGTGACCTTGCCGAGCAACTTGCAAAGCTTGACTTTCGGAGGTACGTTCAACCAAAGCCTTGATGGAGTGACCTTGCCGAGTAACTTGCAAAGCTTGACTTTCGGTCGTACATTCAACCAAAGCCTTGATGGAGTGACCTTGCCGAGCAACTTGCAAAGCTTGACTTTCGGAAATAGGTTCGACCAAAGCCTTGATGGAGTGACCTTGCCGAGCAACTTGCAAAGCTTGACTTTCGGATGGACGTTCAACCAAAGCCTTGATGGCGTGACCTTGCCGAGCAACTTGCAAAGCTTGACTTTCGGATCGGATATTCGTTCAACCAAAGCCTTGATGGCGTGACCTTGCCGAGCAACTTGCAAAGCTTGACTTTCGAATTAGGAAGCTTGACTTTCGGAAGTAGGTTCGACCAAAGCCTTGATGGAGTGACCTTGCCGAGCAACTTGCAAAGCTTGACTTTCGGATATTCGTTCAACCAAAGCCTTGATGGAGTGACCTTGCCGAGCAACTTGCAAAGCTTGACTTTCGGAGATTCGTTCAACCAAAGCCTTGATGGAGTGACCTTACCGAGCAGCTTGCAAAGCTTGACTTTCGGAGATAGGGTCAACCAAAGCCTTGATCGAGTGACTTTGCCGAGCAACTTGCAAAGCTTGACTTTCAGAGGCAGGGTCAACCAAAGCCTTGATGGAGTGACCTTGCCGAGCAACTTGCAAAGCTTGACTTTCGGAAGTAGGTTCGACCAAAGCCTTGATGGAGTGACCTTGCCGAGCAACTTGCAAAGCTTGACTTTCGGAGGTACGTTCAACCAAAGCCTTGATGGAGTGACCTTGCCGAGCAACTTGCAAAGCTTGACTTTCGGATATTCGTTCAACAAAAGCCTTGATCGAGTGACCTTTCCGAGCAACTTGCAAAGCTTGACTTTAGGAAAATGGTTCAACCAAAGCCTTGATCGAGTGACCTTTCCGAGCAACTTGCAAAGCTTGACTTTCGGAGATTCGTTCAACCAAAGCCTTGATGGAGTGACCTTGCCGAGCAACTTGCAAAGCTTGACTTTCGGACATTTTTTCAACCAAAGCCTTGATCGAGTGACCTTTCCGAGCAACTTGCAAAGCTTGACTTTCGGAGATTGCTTCAACCAAAGCCTTGATCGAGTGACTTTTCCGAGCAACTTGCAAAGCTTGACTTTCGGAGGTACGTTCAACCAAAGCCTTGATGGAGTGACCGTGCCGAGCAACTTGCAAAGCTTGACTTTCGGAGAAAGGTTCGACCAAAGCCTTGATGGAGTGACCTTGCCTTCAGGTCTTCAATTTTTCCATTGCTTTGGGATATCGGTCAGTGTCTCCTGAATCGTGATCCTCCATTTTGTATGGATTCCTACATAATTATCAGATCCACAAGTGATCATAATCCAATTCCTGCCGTGTTGGCAGTGCATGCGTTCATTCCCAAAAATTGTGTCTGTGGCTGTGCCAAAGGCTCACTCCAATCCCGAGTGCTACCTATTAAAAATGGTGATGTTCAATAGCTATGTTAGTTTACCAGATGCTATATGTGTCTGTTTGACAAAGATTACGGGACTTGTGGCAGAAAGCCACTGGGTAAATGGGATATCTTTGAGATGATTATCCAAGCGCTTACTGTTGGCTGTGGCTGCCAGGTTTGTTCCGGGGAATGAGGATGGGGTCCCACATGCAGGTTGATGGTCCTCAGAAAAGATCAAAAAAGTCACTCAAAACCCTTTCAAGGGAACTAACAGCTTGGAAAAAGTCGATGGAAGCAGCATGCAGCAGCCCCAAGTCACGTGAATATGATATATATATATATGATATAATGTACTCTAATGTGATCATATGATCTACACCAGAATCAGATTGGAGGCAGATGTTTTTTATGGTTTTTGTTGGGTGCTGTTTAAGGCCCATTTCAAGGCCCATTTTGAACTCGGTCCTAAGAGTTCATCATAGTGAAGCATCGCCATCGCCCGGCCTGGTAAAGCTACAAAACTATGGAAAGTCACCATGGAAATAGTGGAAAATCACCATGAAACATGGTGATTTAACCCATCGTTTTTTGTAGCTTTACCAGGCCGGGTAATATATATGAATGACTGTTCTATCTTTGGGCTTGCTATAATTCTAGTATGCCAAATCAGAGGAGTTGGAGAGCTTGGACCTATAAAGTTTTGCCCAGGTGTTGTTCCCCTGATGATCTCCAACTTCCAACGCCACAGGCTGCCCCGCGATTTCCAAAGTCAAAGTGATTTGATTGACCTCTTGGGGTGAGCCATGCCGCACTCAAAAAGTACGTTCGCTGCCAAAGTTTGCTTATGGGCCTCTGTATATGTGGATATATTGTAAATATATATATATATTAGAGGATAGTTAGGATATACTAAAATGTTATGAGATTGTAGTGGCTAAAGCAATGGCTATGATGTATTGAAATGTAATTGAAATGTATTTAGTTGATGACTACTAGTAGTTTATAGAGATCTAACAACGCCAAAGCGCCACTCGCAACATCGGCAGATGCGACTGCAACTGGCGCAGCCAAAGTCGCTGCCCTGAGATCAAAATGGAGAAAAACGCGTCGCTGTTTGGCAAATCTGGTGGGCCTGGAGCAGAAGCACCGTGTGGTAAACTAACAGACATAGCTATTGAAGCCATGACCATTGAAATAGTGGATTTTCCCATTGATAGCATGGTGATGTTCCATAGCATTTTGTTAACGTTACCAGGCCGGGTATCCAAAGTGAAGCCGATGCACAAACTGTTTGAAAGTCACGAGCCTAGCTCGAGCTTCGAAACCCATTGGTTAAACCCAACAACAATTCAACATGGAGCCGTTCAAAAAAGATGGTTGAACCGATGATTTTCTTATTGATGGCCATTTTTTAGTGGGGGTCCAAAGCTTTACCCTCTGGTAAACTAACATAACTATGGAAAATCACCATTTTTAATGGGAAAATCCACTATAAATGGTCATTTTCAATAGCTATGTTAAATGACCAGAGGGTAACACGTTTGGAACATTGCTACCCAGATGCTGATTTTTGCGTTGGGAAACTTGGCCACTGCAACATGGGAACATCGGAACCAAAACAAGAGCCCTTTATGATCCTTTATGGCTAAATCTGGTAAGATGTGGTAAGCCTGCTAAGTGGAATCCACCCTTTGCCCAATTTTGCGTGCTTTTTTTTTGGGCGAAATTTAAGGAAACCCATGCCTCATGGGGATTGGTCTATAGCTTGTACCATTGGCTCACTGACTTCTCGCCTCGCTCACGACTCGACGGATCCAGGATGTGAAGATCCGAGATTTGTCGTCCACCGCCGCGCAAAAGATTTTTCAGGAGCGGTGCGAACGGAACCAATCAGGGTGAGGCCATATGATGAGGTCATGATGCAGTGGATGGTTGCGAAATCCTGCACCAAAAGGATGGTTGAAACAGTTGATAGTGGGAGAAACCACTTATCAACTGCTAGGTGATTTCGCAACCATCCACTGCATCATTTATTTGGGTAAATGATTGCAGCCCTATTTGACCTCACCAAAGGTGCGATGATGAGTGGGGGAAATCATCCCAAAATGGCCGAAATCGTCTGGCTTAGGAAGTACTAGAATTTCCGCAGATTCTTATATATCAATGCAGATTTCTGCAGTGATGGACAGATGCCCAGGTTGTCAACTATTCTAATCATTCTTCCTTTGCTGGTTTGGGAATGTTGCTGCATTTGAAGGTGAGCATTGGTGAAGTAAATCCGTAAGGAAAACAACTTCAATGTCAGTGATTTCCATGAATCTACCTTGCCAAAGCTTTCTTTCATATCTAGTGTCAGTTTTTAAATAATATGATATGAATTAATACCCTCCGGTAAATTAACAGTTTGACCCTGAAAATCACCAATTTTTAGTGGAAACTAATCTTCCAAATCCTATTTGGCAGGGTCATGCAGGGTCTATGTTAATTTACTGGAGGGTAATGCATGTCTACATGTGGGTGTGTCTGAAAATAGTGTACCCCTAAACCCAAAATGATCATTATCCCTATTAAATGGCTATAATTGGGAATATACCCTATTTTCAGACAAACCCATGTTTCTATTGTTTTCCCATGAGATTTGACCAAAAAAATATGCCATCCATGGTGGCAGCCTCCAGGACAAGTTGGCCGAGCCCTTAATCGACGCGATTGGGGAATACTTCGAGCCGCGCGCTGAACCGCGGTGGGTGGACTTTCCCTGGGCCAAAAGCATGGAGGGTCGCCTATTTTCAGAAAAGACTTGAGAAATTTCTGGTGGGATTGACATCTAGATGTGATAATATGTGATACTGGTTGGTGGTGACTGGAACCATGGAATTTTGAATGACTTTCCATTCAGTTGGGAATGGAATAATCATCCCAACTGACGAACTCCATCATTTTTCAGAGGGGTGGTGGGCTCAACCACCAACCAGACGTGATATGATGTGATGATCCTCATTGACTTTCATGGATGAATTTGAGCCACGTGAGGCGATGACCAAGTTTGAACCAATCCACGCAGAAACCTAAGCAAAATGGTTGGTTTCCCTACTGCAATCCCATCTATTCCATATATATACCACATTTATCTCCATGTTGGGGCTTAAACCCCCAAACCATCTAAAACCTTAGTGAGCCGTGAGCCAACTGCAAATCGCTGGTGAGTATTTTACTTCACACTACCAGATTTGATTGGACATTTGGGTGGATTATCAGACTAACATGTGACAACCAGCCAGTCTTATGCGTTTTGGGAACTGTCAAGATGCTTTGATATTCTTGTGAGGTAGAGTGCTACTGTGATGATGTGAGATGTGTCATGTTTGGCATTTTTGCTCCTAATTGATGTTTAGATTTTGTCCTCATTTATGTTTCCATATCTTGTCCTTACAATATTAATTATAGTTTATAGTGTTTTATTTCATCATTATCTGGTGGGTGGTTTGGAACATTTTCCATATATTGGGAAGAATCATCCCAACTGACGTTCATATTTTTCAGAGGGGTGGCGAAAAACCACCAACCAGTGATGTTTATGTGTACGTTTACCCTAGAATACATTGCGACGTTTTCCCAGGTTACCCAAGGGTGACGTGTCGGTGGATGATGCCTTTATTGTCCGATATGCCACGGATTCGCAACGAGGGTTGGCCTTTCATCGAGACGGCTCCTTGGACCATCCCCAGAAAAAAGCTATGGCTGGGATAGATTGGTATAGACCATCAATGATTTACCATGTAATTTTGGACATGCTATGATATCTTTAAATCTGTAATATATTGTGTATATATAGACCATCAATTTATATGTTTAAATGGGTAGTATATTACAGACCATCAATTTGTCTGTTTAAATGGGTAGTATATTATAGACCATCAATTTATATGTTTAAGTGGGTAGTATATTATAGACCATCAATTTATCTATAGATATATATATATATATATGCGGGTGATTTATGACATTGTTGTACTAACGATGAAACTTTCAGGGGTTGATTCCGGAGATCTTTCTAAAGCACTGGAGCTGAGCAATGTCATGGCACTACCATCCCAGTCATCACCATAAATCTATAGGTGGTATATATATTTACCATTCCCAGTCATGGCTGGTTTATATGATTGTTTTACCCACATTTGAATATAACTTGTGGGAATCGTTTTGGAAAAAATGGAGTCTTATTTTGGGAATAATATCTTTTTTTGGGGGGAGTCCTTAAAGTAATAGTTGTCTTACAGATTGGAGAAAGCTGCTGTTTAGCTTCACGTTTCTGCATGTTTCTGCTGTTTTCGCCGCCGGTCATTTCACGTTTCTTGCTACGGGAAAATGGATGAGAATGGTCCAGCTATGGATGAGCAAAAATAGGCCTATACCTATGAAAAATCACGTTTTTCCATAGCAAACTGCTACTGCCAACCATGCTAACCAGTGAGTCATATTCATGATGTTCTTTTATGTGTGTTTAAGTTGTTTTTTCAACATGCACAACAAATACCATATGTATATCTATATGTTGAGGTTGTTGGGATATCTTGGATGTCGATGGCTTGAAAAGCCCTCAGGATCCATCGTCAGCGCCATTATTTCCCTTTCCGACGAGCTTCTTGGAGATGGCAGGGGTAGAAATTGGAGCTACCTACCCAAAAAAAGAAAGGCCTACTTGGTGGCTCATCCCACTTAGTAAGTGGGTTATAACCCCAGTTATAAGTGGACTAACCCTACTTATCCCATTTATAACTGGGGTTATAACCCACTTACGATTCGTGGGATGAGCCACGTTAAAGTAGTTAAAGGCCTAGGGGACAAAGGTCACCAAAATCTGGCCAAAAAAAAAATCGGAGTACCTACATCGTATGGATGTCCTTTTCCCACTGCTTGGTTGATGAAAATAGAGGGCTTTGAAGAAACCCCTTTTAGAACAGGTAAATCACGAAAGGTAGCTCCAGAGGGGCTACCTTGAGTTTTACTTTACGAAGTAAAGGGGAGGGCGGCCAGCCCCGTTACCTGATTCTTCAGGAGATTGCTAGTCATTTTAGTACCCCCCCCCTCCTCCACACCTCCCACGCACCCTAAGAGCAGACTCAAAATACTGTAATTTACAGTATTTTTGTTCTTTTCGGATCAAGAAACCACATTTTGCTACATGGTGAAACCTCCGTAAATACTAGTGTTTTTGCTAGGTGCTGGCCAAAAAACACTGTAAATACCGTGTTTTTTACTACCAGAGGCAAAAAACATCGTAAATACCGTGGTTTTGGGCTTCCGACCCGCCAAAAACATTGGTATTTACCGTGTTTTTTGCTCTGAGAGATGCAAAAACACGCGAAAACACCACCGATTTGACGATTTTCGGCCACTACGGAACCGAGCAAAAACGCTGCAGGGGTAACACCAACACCAACAAGAACAACACCAACAGCAACAGCAACAACAACAACAACGACGACGACAACAACAACAATAATAATAACAACAACAACAAGAACCACAACAACAACAACACCAACGCACAACGCACAACGCACAACGCACAACGCACATCACACAACACACAAAACACACAAAACACACACACACACACAACACACAACACACACACACAACACACACACACAACACACAACACACAACACACACAACACACACACAACACACATACAACACACACACACAACACACACACACAACACACGCAACACACGCAACACACACAACACACACAACACACACACAACACACACACAACACACACACACACAAAACACACACACAAAACACACACACAACACACACAACACACAACAACACACAACAACACACCACAACGCACAACAACACACCACAACACACCACAACACACAACAACCACAACAACCACAACAACCACAACAACCACAACAACTACAACAACAACGACAATGACAACAAAAACAACAACAACACACAACAACACACAACAACACACAACAAAACACAACAACACACAACAACAAACAACAACACACAACAACACACAACAACACACAATAACACACAACACACAACAACACACAACAACACACAACAACACACACAACAACACACAACAACACACCACAACACACAACAACACACAACAACACACGCAACACACAACAACACACAACAACACACAACAACAACAACACACAACAACACAACAACACACAACAACAACAACACACAACAACACACAACAACACACAACAACACACAACAACACACACACAACAACACAAACAACACACACAACAACACACCACAACACACCACAACACACCACAACAACACACAACAACACACAACAACACACAACAACACACAACAACACACCACAACACACCACAACACACAACAACACACAACAACACACAACAACACACAACAACACACAACAACAACAACAACAACAACAACACCATCAGCAGCAGCAGCAGCAACAACAACAACAGCAACAACAACAACAACAACAACACGAACACAAACAATACCAACACCAACAACACGACCAACAACACCAACACCACCAACAAACCCAACCACACCAACAACACTAACAACACTAACAACACCAGAAACACTACCACCACCAACAACACCAACAACACCAATACCAACCAACACCAACAACACCAACACCACCAGCACCACCAACACCACCAACACCACAACCACCACCAACCCCAACCACATCGCCGAAGCCTTTCAGTCGCTTTTACCAGACTTCCCTTTTATATTTTTGGAAAGAAAATGGCCGCGTCGCTTTTACCAGACTCCACTTTATGTTTTTTTCCCTGCCCTCTCCCCTTCATTTTTTCTTCGGTTCCTTTCTTGCTTACCTACCTTTCGTGTTCCCCCTCTCAAGTGATGATAGATGCTATACCAGCTCCCGGCCCCTCTATTTTTACCAAAAGAACATGATTGACCTACATTTTAGGATCCTGAAAGTCCCATTGTTTAAGAAAAACTGATTCTTTGCGAGGTGTTGAGTTGCCATTTAGCGCGTCGCGCTGCAAATTTCTTCCTTTGCTGTTTCGGATATATCTCAGGTTACCTTTTGAGGGCTGGGGATATGCCTTGATTTGATATGTCTTGGTGGTGCTCATCTTTGCGCAACAACTTGTGGAGAAAGATGGGGTTGGAAGTGGTGGGCGAAACACCTAGGGCACGCAAAAAGGCACGTTTGTAGCTTACTCTCTGGTAATTTCTTACACTTTGCTATTGAAGCCATGGCCCATTTAGTTCGTTGATTTACCCCCTGGTAAATTAACAGTTTGACCCTGAAAATCACCAATGTTGAATGGAAACTAGTCTTCCAACCCCGATGACTGCCAGGGTCTATGTTAATATACCAGAGGGTACCTATTAGTTAGATGTACCTATTGGCATTTCATAGATTAATCAACCATAATCACCCATAGATTGCCATAGATTAATCAGTGGATTTACCCTATGAAAATGGTGATTTTCCACTTCGCAAACTCTTAGTTTCCCAGAGATAACATCATCCAATCATGGGCCCGAACCTGGCCGCCGAATTGAAACCTCTATGACTCTGGTGGTAAGACAAGAGATTCCACGTGAGTTTTCCCTTCACCCAATCCTTTGAACTACATTGAGCTTGATATTTGGATATACCCTCTGGTAATTTAACATAGCTATGTGGAACATTGCTATTTAGTTCGTTGATTTCCCCATCAAAAACATGGTGATTTTCCATAGCAAACTGTTAGTTTAAATTACCAGAGGCTATTTGTCGGTTAAATCCCCATGTGGCCCATGATGTTCCAGTTTTGAAAAACCATCTGGTTATGACATTCACAGTTTGCCATTGAAAATCACGATTTTTAAGAACGGTAAACCATATATATACCATATACCATATATAAATAGGCCATCTATACCATGGCTATGTTAGTCATAACCAGAGGGTAGATGTCGATTTCCCTTGCGCCAATCCACTTCCATTCTGCTACGATGGCACAAAGTTTGGCACCAATCAAAGGCGAGACTACGTGGGTGGCGGCACTCAATTCATGGATGGTAGCGTCTACCGGCCTTCGCAAGGTGACACGGGCATATTTACACCTCCGGGAATGGCGGACATGTTTCAGGTTTTGGTTATGGAAAACCCAGGGATGTTTACAAAAAGCTATGGAAAACCCCATCATTTCGGACAATGATCTAGATTCATATGAATCTATGTGAAAATTTGTGCGAAGCTATGGTTTATAAAGCATCCAATTGTAGGCCAATACTCATTGAACGGGCGCGTCCTCGATGCCCCGGGTTTTCAGGGTCTGTTTTGGTGCGGATACCCTCTGGTAAACTAACATAACAATGGAAATTGGCCCATTTATAGTTGATCTACTGTACCTATTATAAATGGCGATTTTCCATACTTATGTTTGTTATTGTTTGTTTACCAGACAGCAATTCAAAATGTTTAATGTGGTTCTAAGTATTTTTCATGTTCCATACCATGCTTCATAAGATTGTTCATGTTACCAGATACGTGCTGAAATCATGAAAAATTAGCAGTATTGGTTCAAAACTACCTGTGTTTTTGGGTCAGATTCTGTTTTGGATGATTTGGAGGTTTCCTGAAATGGGTATGTCTGAAAATGGGGTATACCCCCAATTATAGCCATTTAGTAGGGATAATGATCATTAACCATTGGGTGTAGGGGTACACTATTTTCAGACAAACCCAAATGGGACCTCCAAATATCTCCAAATCATCGATTTTTCCCATGGGATTTTCCATGACTTACCCCGTCCATTTACCGCCAGCGGGGGATAGCTCCATGACAAACCGACTTAAAACCGTCCCATTTCGACCAATTAATCTGGATGATTCCATTATCCCACCATGGAGTTGGGGTAATAACCTGCACTATTATTATTCTAATATTGATGGTCATTATAACCAGAAATTATATATTAAGTTACTAATCCTGCAGATTTTGTGTGAAAAAAAAAGGGATTCAAATGATGTGAACTTTTGGGCATCTTTAGGCCCGGAGCATGTTTGTTTGTCATAAATGATGATTTGTGACAAATCATCTACAACGATGAAACTAGGCCCGGACAAGTCGGATAAGTCTCAAATTCAACCACCGCATCAAAAGTATCGGCGAGACAAGTAATATATGAATTTAACATGCTTATGCATCATCCCATATCTGGTTGGTGGTTTGGAACATTTTTTTCCATTTCATATATGGGATAATGCTTCCCAGCCTTCCCATTGACTAATGTTTTTCAATATGGTTAAAACCACCAACCAGTTATGCATCATCCCATATACCCTCTGGTAAATTAACATAGACCCTGAAAATCACCATTTTTTAGAGGAAACTAATCTTTCAACCCCGATGACTGCCAGGGTCTATGTGAATTTACTGGAGGGTAACTGTTATAACCATATGATCAGTATAGGGTACGAATATATCCAGAATCCAGAAGTTATCCCAACAAGCCCCACCTCGATGCCGAAAATACGAAAGGACACTTGGAAATTAGCTGGGAAGCACACCAGGTATACCATGCTACTTTTCGGCATATGTTTGAGGGCTGCTTGAACTAGCAAAACATCAATAAACATGTGTTTTCTGATAGTAAGCAGCATGGACATGGACTACATAGTAAGTATACGGCATTGATTTCTACAATTTACACTAAATTCGTATATCCCCAGGAAATTGCCACGAAATCCCGTTAAGTCACGAGGCGGCGGCATCCTCTTCGGTGGTCAGCGCTTGCATGGTGGGGTCGACATCACACGTGGTGCTCGCTACTGGCCGATGTGGCGCCATGTGGCGGGAAACACTGAACTCAAACACGATTCCTGACACCGGCTGAAAGTCATGGCCCCAAGTTACCACCTTTCAACGTCATATTTTAGACACCAAACAACACCAAACAGAATCACACATGGTTTTTTTAAGCGAATTCTTTTCTTCAATGTCGATTGTAGCAGATTCATGTGGTTCCATGTGGGTTCAACCTGGCTAGCTGGAGAATGTCCCATTTACCAGATGATTATCCAATATTTTCCCATTAGAACAGCTGTGATTTACCAGCTTGCCATGTGAAATTACCAGAGGGTAAGACTTGTTTTGGCAAAACTTATTCACCGCAAGGTGACTGTGGATGCGCGTTACATAGGTGTTTGCCCCTGATGGTTTGCCCTAACGTGGCCAGCCAAGTAGAATTTTGTAGTTTTAAAATGTGTGATTCCATTATCTTCAAGTTTTTTTTTAAAGTAAGAAAAGCACACATGTGGTTGGTTGGCTGGTTGCTTGGTTGGTTGGTTGAAATATTTTGTTTTTCCACCCTTTTTGGGGGGAAGAGTTCTTGGTTTTGACTGCCCCATGCCGGACCGAGGCTATATTTGCACCATTTTCTTCAAGCCTGGGCCTCATCCAGGGCTGGGGATCATGCCCGATCATGTCCCGACTTCGGCATCAGTCCATGGGGGTTTCCTAGGTCATGATTTTTTGACAATGGGGTTTACCAATGTTTAACCCGTTATATCCATTTATAACCATTAAACAACCATGTATAACCATCTGGGTAAATTTGATCACGACCTCATGTCGTTCTCCCGAAGCCTGGAATGATGGGAATTGGATTGGGGAAACCTTTTGGAAATCATCCTCGGCCGAAGTTTTCGGGTTAGTGAAATATTGCTATTTTACCCAAATAGATGGGATATATACCACGGTGGATTGTATCTACCATCTGGTTATTTAACATAGCCATGGAAAATCATCATTTTTAATAGGTAAACCATCTATAAATGGGCCATTTTCCATGGCTATGTTAAATAGCCAGAGGGTATATAGATGGGATTCTCCTCCACTTGAAAACATCAAGGTGTGGTGGTTTGAGCTGCAGAGTTGCTCGGCGTTGTGGGGCGTTCTGGATTGGATTGACATGGGTGCGTGCAACAGCGTGCAGCAACTGCTGTTGAATGGCAAGCCGCGCATAAAATTTGGCTGGTGTTTCCAGATACCCTCCAGTAAACTAACATAACTATGGAAAATCACCATTTTCAATGGGCAAATCCACTATAAATGGCCATTTTCAACAGCTATGTTAAATTACCAGAGGGTAGTTGCTTGTTTAACGCTAATATTTGAGGAGGTTGAAGCCACCAGCCATTGAGGAATGGAACATTTACGTGAGCTGTTTTTATCAAAAGATTTGGGGAATCTACTATGGCATATGGGTCACACATATGTTTGGAAAAATGCAGACAGAGAGATACACCCCAAAATGGTGTAAACGGCAATCGCGTTACATGAGTTATGACTATTACTGCCTATTCATGTTTGTGGGTCACCAGATTTGACGCCTTGCCATGTAAGGGTTTTGTCTGAAGATAGGGTGCTAGTTCCAATTCCAATCCATCACCGTCCCAAGAATCATAGTTTTCTCTGTCGTCATCCCAATTTGTCCCAGGCAGTAATCATCCCAACAGAAAAGCTACTACGATTGTGGATTACTATTTAGGCTGATCTTGGGGATAGTTTTGGGATAGAAATGTATGACCATCCCGAACTATCCCCAAACTATCCCCAAAGCTTTGAACCATGGCTTTGAACCGCATTCTGCATCATGAAAAAGATATGGAGGTGTCCTAGTGTATGGGGCTACCCCCATTTGTGGATAGTGTATGGTGGAAAATCCTATTGAAATTGAGGAGAACTGAGGGTACCCCCCTCCCATTTTGGGTTTCACCTATGGCATTTCATCTGGCCATCTCAGGATTTGGCGGTGCTCAAGGATAAAGAAGAGGAGCACGCTTGGCGTTTTTTGAACTGCTCATGGTTGATCAATGATGGTGTTGAACGGTTTTTTAAATGGTTTTAAAATGGCTTGCAATTGTTTTTAATGGTTGGTGACTGGTTATTGATTTCATCCACCACTCTGCGAATTGAAGGTCGGATTTTTTCGTAAGCCCCGTCCAGGTGGATTTGTCGAAAAGACCTTTTCTCATAGTGGACAGTTTGGAGGAAACATCATCGACCAGGATTCAGAGATTGCCATTTGGGTTCTCAGGGTTTGAAAAATCCACTGGTTTCTGGATGTTTCTGGTCATTCGAAACGCATTGAGATTGCCATTTGGGGGATGTTCCCCATTTCCAGACACACATGAATCTATGGGGCCCCCGTTCGATAGCTATATAAGTTGGAGAACATAACTCCAATAATTATGGTTTATGGTACCTATAACTATAGTATGGGGTTTATAAACCATCTTATAACTGGGGGGCCCCACATTGTATGAATCTATGAATCATGGGGCTCCAGAAATGGGCTACAGAAGTATTTTCTCCCGCTAGTGACGTGGAAGTGACCATTTGTTCTTTAATATTCCTGAGTCACCTGAGCCTTATATAATTATAGTACAGCCTTATAAATATATATATATTAATTATATAATCAATTTTATAATTAGACTGTACTGTACTGTATTATATATATATATATATGGTTGGTGGTTTGGAACATTTGGATTATTTTTCCATATGTTGGGAATGTCATCATCCTAACTGATTCATATTTCTCAGAGGGGTGCCTCAACCACCAACCTGATAATCTTGTGGACTAACAAAGATTGACCTAATCTTTTTGGGGTTACCCAACTTGATCATCTGACGTAGCGCTGAATCAATCAAAAATCATGGTGATGTTCCCTATGACCAGAGGACTCCACAGGACTCCGGAGGATATGAACTGACCGCAGTTGGGACTCCTGTTCCACCAGGAGGGCGACCCTGGCATTTGGGGAACCATCGCCGATGTCCTGGGCGTGGGAAAGTGAGCCAAATGGCAGGATAGGGGTCCTCACTGTAAAATGCTGATGAGAGAATGGAACATAATGGCACTAGTAATCAAAAAAACATGTCCTTGATACGAAGAAGAATGAGATTCGTTTTGTAATCTAGAAAGCGAGGCGTTTTGTTTCGCAAACTTTAAGGCGTTTTTGATCTGCCTTTTGGAAGTTTCACCAGTCGAAGTCGACGATCCCGTGTGAAGGAGATATGGCAAGATATTATTCAACTATCAGGTGGGAGAGCTAAGAGCATGTTAAGAGATAGGGGGCTCCATATTCCCTATCAAACGGAGAGCCGTGAAGCTACAGCATGTCAGCCACATGATCCTCAAACCATGGTCTTTGATACTTTGCATTTCCTTCTGCACCAGTTTTTCTTAGCCCTTTCTGGGCAGACCAGAGGAAAAGATGCCGAGAAAAGAAGTATAAGTAGCCCAATTTGACGCATGATAAAATCAAGATTTTGCTGCCTGAACTTTGACACCGACACCATGAGTGGTCAAAACCTGTCATGGCCCTTTTTTGGTTGTGGGAATGATGTGAACACTGCCGATCAAGCAGGTTGAATGCCGATCTTCATCTCAAGCAGGTTTGGACTCGCTGGCGCCAGCATCCTTTTTGGGTGATTTATAACATAAAGCATCATTATATACGCATCCAAATGCATCAATCACCAAGAATAGATAAGAGGTTGATGAGGCTGGCAGAGATTGCTCTACTTGAAATACCCTCTGGTAATTTAACGTAGCTATTGAAAATGGCCATTGAAATAGTGGATTTTCCCATTAAAAATGGTGATTTTCAATAGCTATGTTAAATTACCAGAGGGTAAACACATGAAATTCCTCACTGGGTCCACTAATTTTTTTTTCCGGATGTTCCAGGCTACGAACCAGCGTTGAGCCATGGATTTCATCGATGCCAAAGCAACGACATCACCGAGGGTCGCATCGGCCAGCGATTTCTTCACTGCCAGCAGCGGGCTGACTGAGAAAGCTGCACATGAAGAAAGTGTTAAGCCACAGAGCGAAAAATCTGGAATCCCGGATTTGCTCAAGATGACTTGTTTGATCAGATTTCACTGATTCTTTTATAGACAAATATGTCGAGTCCATTGAATTCCATCACTGACTATATGCGGGATAGTTACTGGGACTATTTTCTTTTTTTGTGGACCCGGGAGCTTCCAAAGAAACTATTGTTACTATAAAACATGTTTTTTTAAACCGTCCATTCATAAAATATTTATGACAAATGAGGGCAGTACCCCCAAATCATCCATTTTTGTAGGAGTTTTCCTTATAAACCCTCCATTCTGGGAACCCCCATTTTCAGGAAACCCCCACTTGATGATATTTTGGATGATTTTCCAAGGAATTGGACTTCGCCTGCCGGTTAAGAAAAAGAAGCCTAAGGAAGGGAACAAGAGTCCTGTGACCCGGTCCTGGCCTTGTTTTGGCCTCTGGTAAACTAACAGTTTGCTATGGCAAATCATTATTTTAATGGAAAATAGTTAGTTCATCACCATTTTATAATATGTAAATCACCATTTTAAAATGTAAATCCACTATAAATCACCATTTTCAGTAGCAAACTGTTAGTTTACCAGAGGGTAGTCGGTATTTTTCCATATGATTCGTTGGTGTTTTTCCGGATGATCCAGCAGAAATGAGAGGAATCTATAGTAAGGGATACCCTCAAAAGTGGCTGGAAAATCCTTCAATGGGAGATCTCCAGGATCCTAAAATTTTAAAATGGAGGTACGTAAACGTACCATTTTTTTGGCCATATTTTGGGGGGGGTATCCCCTTAAATTTAGGCCTGAAAAATAGGCCTTATATATGGTAGGTACCTCCATTTTGGGATCCTGAAATTCCCATTGAATCCTTGTAAATGGAGGTTTTATATACCCTCTGGTAAACTAACATAGCTATAGAAACTGGCCCATTGAAATAGTTGATTTACCTATTAAAGATGGTGATTTTCCATAGCTATGTTAAATTATACCAGAGGGTAATGAGAACATCATCTTTAAATTTTGCGATTTGTTCATTGCCACCTTTTTGAAGACCTTTGATCGCCATTGATTACCGGATGGTATGTGTTTACAACTCCAAGGTGGGCCAAGCGTCGGAAGGAAGTTTCTTCGATACCACGGCTGTTGGCCACCCGCAGTCATCCGAAGCTCCAAAGGTTGGAAGCGGCTTTGAGTTTGCAGCGCCCCGTTCGGCAGATCCAGAGTCGCAGCCAGTGCAACCCACCGTGTCACAGGATTTCTTCACGGCCAGTGGAAGCGCCACCGATGTTTCTGCCACCTTGTCCCACCCGCAGGTGGGGCGTTGGGGTTCCTGCAGCAAATCTATGGAAACCTACTTGAAAAATCCGGGACCTGGTGGGGACCATGGTCCTGCAACATCTATATCCGTTTTTCCCCAACAGCCAAACTTTGCTATCTGGTCTTTAGCCCAGATTAGCGGTGCGATCCGGTGCAGCTTCAACACCAGGTTCCGGACAAGGTTCTGGAGGGTTCTGGTGCAGATACCTCGTGAGGCTCCGGAGGGTTCCGGTGCAGATATCTCTTGAGGCTCCGGAGGGTTCTGTGCGGTTCCGGAGGGTTCTGGTGCAGATACCTCGTGAGGTTCCGGAGGTTTCCGATGTTTTTCTATGGCATAAGCACTTACTGTAATTTTTATGGCAAAGGCACTTTTTTATGTCAAAAACGCAGAAGCTTTCAAGCTGTTGGGGATAGCACCTGGTTTTTTTTCTCCCAACATCATGATGAAGCCCCGGAAGCTCAACACTGGCGGAAGACAAGAAACATGTACAATGTACACTTGTTTCAATGACTCCTTGTCACCGGGAAAATCACCCAGCAATTTGAAAGAGAGAAATCCACCACCTGTAGATCATTACCCATTATTTTTCCGTACTTATATCATTGGATATCTACCTCAATCAATAGGAATTTTAGGATCCTAAATTGGAGGTACCTACCATATATAAGGCCTATGTGAGTGAATATCACCACAAAATATGGCCAAAAATATGGTACTAGCGTACCTCCATTTTAGGATCCTGAAATTCCCATTGACTCAATCTAGTTCGGTGCCTCGGGGCATTTATTTTCTTTCACGCGTGGGCCTAGCACTGCTCATGGCCCCACTGAAATTTTCACGTTCACTGTGTGACGCCATTTGGTTTGCCACGCCATGTTGGGTCGGTTGGTTTTACGATCCCTCACTTCCTTAAAATTTCACCATAGAAGATCATAATGTCATAGAACGTCATGGAAAAGCATTTAAAGCCCCAGGATTCACAAATTCAATGCCAAAATCATCTCAAGCATTCTCAGGCTAAATTCAAAGCACGGGAAGGTGATCAAGATTGATCATGCCATTCACAATTTGCAAACGATTTCACTATCATCATCACCGCCAACACCATCATCATCATCATGATACATATAAATTCATATCATACATATACATCATATATTCTCCCAGAAGATCCCAAATCGAACTGGCCCTGCCCCGGTTGGATTGTATGATAAGGAGGGGTCATATAAAGTTGACAGCTTCAGTGATGAGCCTAACGAGGGTTTGTCACAATCCCATTCCCCGATCCTATTCAACACCTAAATTTGGCCCTATATGGTACCAAATGTGTGATTTCATCTCCATCGAAATAAGGGATATAAGTGCTCGAACGGGGGATGGGATTAGGCAATTAGGCCCAGTTCAAACTGGCTGGTGGTCTCACACATTTTCAAACATGTCCTATTTTCATCTATTTTCCATCTATGCTAGTGGGATGATGATCTAAACTGACATGAGTTTTCTGGGGTCAAAGCCATGAAACCGATATCACGAACCAGGTCTTGTAAGGTACCTGGGTATAGAGTTTCAGACTGTGTCAGGGGTAAAAAGGGCCGCCCCTGAACCCTGAGGCAGGTACAGAGGGCAAGTCGAATTTCGCACTTCGCTTGCCAAAAGCGAAAAAGAAGACACCGCCGCGGGAACGCGACAAGGGTCCCATCAGTCAAATATCGGAAGGAAGTTTCTTCGATACCACGGCTGTTGGCCACCCGCAGTCATCCGAAGCTCCAAAGTTTGGAAGCGGCTTTGAGTTTGCAGCGCCCCGTTCGGCAGATCCAGAGTCGCAGCCAGTGCAACCCACCGTGTCACAGGATTTCTTCACGGCCAGCAGTGGAAGCGCCACCGATGTTTCTGCCACCTTGTCCCACCCGCAGGTAGAGAGCAAGTCCGGCTTCACCCTGCGATTGCCCAAAGCCAAAAAGAAGACCCCTCCAAGGGAACGTGAGAAGCGGCTAAGTCGAATGAGTGAAATGTCCCAAACGCAAGGAAGCAGACCCAGTGGATCAATTGCCGATCTCCCCAGGGCAGTCAGGGCAGAGGTGGATCCCACTGAAGCTTCCCAAAGCTCCCCATCCAGGGGGAAACCGTCACAGATGACGCTCAAACCCAGAAATTTTGGCATGGTCAGTGTGGGTGCCAAGTCAGATGAAACCGTGGCTGGAGCAGATTTGGATGCTGCTGCTACGAAGATCCAGGCGATCTTCAGGGGCAAAACTGCACGGCAGCTAGTGAAGACCAAACTTGATGCCATAGCAGCCATTGGCCGAGTGAAACTGCACGGGCAGTCCAAAGATGGTTCGCCGCTTGAGACCTCGGAAGGGGAAGACCATGCAAGGGAAAGTGCTCGGAACGCACCTGGGATCACACTTTGTTCATTTTTGATTTTGATGATTTTATGATATTTTCTGATTGGTACGTTTTCAGCGCTTTGTTCGACTGACAATGGACTCTATGGTCCCCATTTTTGCTCGCACCTTTGCTCAACAAGCAAAATAACGGACTTGAAATTCGCATCCAGCTAAAAAAATAGTAGTGCACATTGCAGCGCACCCATTCCTTCCAAAATCACTCTCATGGTTTGGATGGTGCGTTTTGCTCCTGTTTTAGCCGTGAACGAGGCAATTCCATTGAATACTTTCTTTGAAGTCTCGCAAGCCATTCAGACGGAGCATACCACTGGAAACCTGTCAGAGGAGCAGGCGGCATCCAAGATCCAAGCACTCTACCGTGGGAAGATGGCAAGGCGACACGTGGCAGATGAAAAGAGGCACCTTTGCTTGAGCCTTAAAATACTGAAGCGAGCATTTGGGTAGCCTCAAAACAAGCCAAATCTCCATGGCGAAAGGTTTTTAAACATGTTTGAACGGTTTGAACGAATATGTTCCGATTGTTAGTGGGTGTCTTTGGAGTTTTATACGGTTTCGCAGTATTGTTTTTACTTCGGTTTGCCTCCTTTGAGCAGATTGGTCGTCTCTGAACCTAGCTGAATCAGCACGCGGCCGGTTGTGCCCGCCGGCTTGACACTACCCTCAGGCATGTTGACAAAACAGTGGCTGGAGCAGATTTGGATGCTGCTGCTACGAAGATCCAGGCGATCTTCAGGGGCAAAACTGCACGGCAGCTAGTGAAGACCAAACTTGATGCCATAGCAGCCATTGGCCGAGTGAAACTGCACGGGCAGTCCAAAGATGGTTCGCCGCTTGAGACCTCGGAAGGGGAAGACCATGCAAGGGAAAGTGCTCGGAACGCACCTGGGATCACACTTTGTTCATTTTTGATTTTGATATCCCCGATCGAATTTCCCTTACAGAATGGAAGGGGTCGACCCTCTTATAAATGGTTTATATATAGGCATTTTGTAGTTACAATGATCCCCCTAACCAGGGCACCCAAAAGGCAAAGTTGTAGATTTTCAAGTGTTCATTTTGTAAGAGATTTGAGGTGCCAAGTCATTTTATAAGACCATCGACTTTGTCTTTTTGAGGCTTTTTGTAAGCTCAAGATGCTGTTATTGGACAAAAAAAACAACTCAGCAGGGTGTGCAATGACATTTTGTAAGGAGATGTCGTCAAGAGTAGAAGAACCTTTTTGTAAGAATATATGCTTTTTAGGCATTGATACAAAGTATTGTTCAGATTTGTACATGTTTTTGATTCGCCTCAATCATTTGATAGCTGTTTTGGCTATTTCCGAAAAGGCCCCAGCCCACAGCCCTGACACATCCAAATGGCGTGGCTTGTTGTGGTTCTTTTGGTGAGTTGGCTTTCTGGTGTTGGGAGTGCACCAGATTTGCCATCGCTGGAAGATGGATCAGGGGGGAGGGGTTGCTCCCGGTTTCTTTTAAGTTTAAACCAGTGGTGATTTTCAAAAACCAGTGTAGATACCCGTAGGAAACACCATATAGACTCCACATAGGTACTATATAGGTTAGGTTCACTACAAAATGCCAAGGTGTTGCTACTCTACAGGGGAGGAGCGTTTATTTTAGGAAGCTTCCTGGGGCTACCAGCACCTTGTCATTTTGTAAGGCACAGTTCAAGTTTTAGGGCAGCCATGGCAGCAATTTTTGGATTTGGTGGAGGCACCAACTTTCTTCTTGGTGTTGTGTTGGCCGAGGATGGCCAAGGATCGTTTGCAAGTTGTAAGTGTGACGACGTTCATGGCTATCTTATGTTTTCATTTTGTACATGTTCTTTCGTGTTCAATTTTTACTCTTTTTTTTTGGTACTCATGTGATAACACAAACGCGAGGCATCATGAGAGGAGTTCTGGTAGGCAATGAGGCCAAAGAAGCAACAATACAAAAACATAAAACAACATAAAAGGTGGCAAAAAATGGAATCCTTACAAAAAGGCTGCTTGAAAATCAACGAGTCCGGGAAAACCAGACACAGGGAACCAGAAGTTGTTTCCTTACAAAATGATGCCCGAAAACGCTATCTAAAATCACAACTTCTTACCAAAAGGTCATTGAGTAAGATACAACTTCCATATCATGAAGAAAGTCGTCACCCTATAAAATGGTATGGGTGTTTGAAGTCGAATGTGGGCGCTAAAAACCTATGCTTTTTGTAAGGGCCAAAATTCCCAAAAACCAACTCTTTTTATAGGGTTTTAAAAAATCCCATGGAATTATACTACAAGAAGCCGGGTGCGACGTCTCCCCCTAATTCGAACGGGGATATTTTGATGATTTTATGATATTTTCTGATTGGTACGTTTTCAGCGCTTTGTTCGACTGACTCGACTGACAATGGACTCTATGGTGCCCATTTTTGCTCGCACCTTTGTTCAACAAGCAAAATCACGGACTTGAAATTCGCATCCAGCTAAAAAAAAAGAGTAGTGCACATTGCAGCGCACCCATTCCTTCCAAAATCACTCTCATGGTTTGGATGGTGCGTTTTGCTCCTGTTTTAGCCGTGAACGAGGCAATCCCATTGAATACTTTCTTTGAAGTCTCGCAAGCCATTCAGACGGAGCACACCACTGGAAACCTGTCAGAGGAGCAGGCGGCATCCAAGATCCAAGCACTCTACCGTGGGAAGATGGCAAGACGGCATGTATCAAATCAGCACCTTGGATGAAAGGGTAGCCCCGCAACACTCTCTACATCTCTTGTTAAGATTTGTTGAAAAATAGGGTTGTTGAACTCATTGGGATTCTGCTTTGTTTGTTTTTGCTGTTACGGATGTTTGCCTGTGGTTTCCACCCCAGACAACTCAGGCATGACGCAGCGACTCGCATCCAGGCCCTTTGGCGCGGCCGTCAGGTTCGGGCCAAGGCTACTTTGATCTCGGTGGCGCAAGTTGGGATGTTACGGATCAAGGCCATGCGCCATGGCCATTCACCATCTTCACCCAGCCCGAGCCCCGCGCTCCAGGAAGCCCAGAAAACTTTTCTGGAAACTCCCAGGCAGAGTCCCCGAACTCAAGGGGAGAGTCTCCGTGCGGCGGTGCGCTTGCAGGCTGTGTTCCGTGGCAACCAAGTCCGGAGGCTGTTGGAGGCTCAGCGCCAGGCAGCAACGAAGATCCAAGCGCAATTTCGGGGACGGAAGGGGCGATTGTTCGCAATGGACCTGGCAACAGCGGCTGGGCTGCCCCGTGAAAGCTTTGTTTCAACTTGATAGTGCGTCCCAAAAAGGGCAGTGATTGGGAAGCTGATATTCTATGAATTTGGTGTTCTTCCTCCAACCCGACATCCTTCTTTTCCATCATTGTTCTGTCATTTGGAGCGGGCAGATGCCCATCCCAGTGATCATGATCTCCGTTGTGTTGGCTAAGGTGGTGAATCTACGAGTGAAGGTGCACAACTTTCACAAATCAGCTGCCGGTGCTTCGAAGGTTATGGTTGACAACAGTTTTTTCGATGCTGGCGGAATAGTCTCAGAGCCACTTCTGCAGGAAAAGGCCGCTGTGACGATACAAAACTTCTACAGAAGGAGGCGAGGGGACACGCGAATCAGCAGAAACTCGGGCATAGCAGATGTGGTTTCATCAGTGGGACCGGCAGCCGTTGGTGCTTGGCTGGTGGTTTCAGCATTGGTTCTTCACAGATACTGCTAGTATGGGCTGCGAAATCTTAGGCCAGGTAGGATCAACCCCTATAACAACCCAACCCAACAAGCATCATTTATCACTTACCCATGTTTATGATAGTTATGTTACAACTTCATAAAAGCCTCACAAGTGATGGCCTAACTAAACCCATCACGAGGTGGGTCCCCAGCAGTTTTGTTTGTTGCTTTGTTTTCACCCCATTCAGTACATAAGTTATATCCTCCTAGTCAACCCAACCATCAAGTGATTTGCCTCAACTTCGCCACGGTTAAAATAGTTATAACCAAGTTATGATATAGTCAGAACCTCATAGATGATCATACATGATGATTGAACATCTTAAAATACATCATCAACAGGGGCAGCAGCACAACGTTCAGTAATGTGGGTAAAACAATGTCATAAACCACCCAAATAATGGAATGGTAACCATACCACCTATAAAAATGGTGATGACTGGGGGATGCTTTATGGTATTGTTTTAACCACATTATAGATGATATTTACCCCATATTTCCAGGTGTCCAATTTATGTTCGACCTCTTTTTTTGGAACAATCTCTGTTTACGGCATTGCGTTAACAGCGGTTAACACATTACAGTGGATTTACCTGTTTACCTAGTGATTTTCCATTGATTATGCTATAGATGGCCTAATCCAGTGCCGTGGACATCTCAGGTGCCGTGCGCCGTTCCCTGGTGGCTGCCGGCTTCGCCGTGGTGGGCGCCGGCAACGCGCAGATCGCGCAGCTCTTCCACCGCGCCAGCGCCACCTTCGACGAGGCCCTCAGCGCCGTGGGCAGCGCGGGGGACGCCGCAGCGCAACGGGCCTCGGTGGCGCTGGGGGAATCCTTGCTGCAGATGGTGGTGGATGCTTGGATGATGGATGGGGATGGTAAATAAGCCACCTGTATGTGGTTAAGCCACTGTTAAGTCTATGATGAATGATGGTTTTGGATTCAACAGACTGAGGGGGGTTGATAAACAGACTGAGAAAACTGAAGGAGGGGCCACCTTGCTGGGGAGTTCTTAAGTCATGGGGGATCCCCAGTCGTCACCATGCTCATCCATGAGGACTGGATGGTTTATGATGGCTTGGGGTTATTCCCATGACTGAGGAAACCTCCATTTGGTGGTAACTTTTGGACCAAATAGATCCAAATAGATCCAAATAGATCCAAATAGTTCATCTTCATGGGCTCCGGGATGATTTTTGGATTGGCTGGGGTTATGACTTGTTCTTTTTCCATTCTTCAATCCACCATTTGGAGGAATCTACCAGGCTTTTGGTTTCTTTGTTTGGTTGAAACCCTCTAACCCAAGGATACGTCGTCGCCGCCAGAATCACCCAAGATGAAAAGTCATGGAAAGGATGAGGAGCCACCGGGACAACATGACGAAGATGGATCTGATTCCGAGTCGGACGAGCCGAAGGATTCGAAGCTGGAAGATGAGCCGAAGCATTGGACAGCTGGAGATGGAGATTCCGAGTCCAAACCACGGTCGAAGAAAGCAGCGGCCAGGGAATTCATACGATGCATTGATCAATCCTGTGTCCCTTGGATGGTAATCCCTTCAATTTGAATTACATCCCCATATCAGTGTAGTATTGGATCTTTTTTTCGCTTGTGGGGTCTCTTGTTGATCTCCTTAGGAATTTAGAGGTATTGAACGGGGGGATATGCATTTCGGATGGACGATGGGCCGGGTGTCCCCCCGAAAATGGGCCGTACATGTCTGGCAATACGATACCCACCCTAAATTGAACGCGAAGATGGGCAAACAAATGTTCTGGTTGGTGGTTTCAAACATTTTTGATTTTCCATTTCATATATGGGATGTCATCCTTCCCATTGACGAACTCATATTTTTCAAGACGGTTATTGCACCACCAACCAGTATATATATATCCCATGATTCCCTATTATATCAGTATATTCCCACTCATATTGTATCAGTTTTGATTTGAGGCAAGTGTCAGAAATCACTTTGGTCTCAGGCGCTAGGTCAAAAAGGTCAGAATCCCCAGGCCGAATTGCCACAGCGACCAAGGGTGTGGGCTTAGGATTTCTAAAAACATCCAGAAACCATCGGTTTGATGATGTTGCATTGGCATTTCCAGTGCCAATATATCTATGTATATGTATACATTTGCATCTTTTATATTTTGTGTATGCGTATATTATACATACTTTATATATAATACATACCTACATACTTACACACTTACACACTTATATACGTACTTACATACTTACATACTTACATCCTTAACTGATCTTGCACTACATTATATATATATATGTATATTTACAGATATCATATTTACATATTGTACCTACATATTGTGTATATATATATATATACATACTATTGCTTTCCCAGCCGCTTCGTCCCCAGCATCTCGCACCAGGCAAAGCTGCAGGGCTGGCTGCAACGTCGAAAGGAGCGACCACCGGCTGCGCCGCTCCGATTGGACCTGGTGCCGCTGGCGCCGCTGGCAGCGCCCGTGGTGAAGCTGGGGGAAGAGAAGGACCGACGTGGGGTGATGATGAAATATATGAAGAGTTACCTATAGTTATATCATGTTATATCCTTGGTTATCTATAATTATGACATAAGGTAGATCTATTGTTATCTATATGAATAAATCTAATATCCGTATATGGTACTTATATCCTCAGTAGATATATGTTTATTGTATCTTTTTAGTATCCATACTATCCATATGGAGGTTTCCAAAGTCATGGGGGTACCCCAAATCATCCAGTCATGGATGGCCATGACTTGGTATGGGAACCCATGGCTTAGGACCCCCCATTTCAGGAAATCCACCAACTGGGCAAAACGGTTGATTTTATAAGACAAACATTGCAGAGGTTCCGAAAATCTATGCTGCGCATCACAGTAAGTTTCGCAATAAAGTGTCTAGCAGAAAGACCGGTGATGGTATGTTTTACGGTATGCTATGACAAGAAAAAGGTTGCGAAGCACGGTGTGAGTCAACCTCATGGTACCAGTCAGGTTCACCTCATGGCCCCAATGACAACTGAAATTCCATTATAGGAGCGGTGACCAGTGGTGATGTAACTGATCAGCTGCGCAGATGGCCAGGACAAGGCGCTGCAGATGTTGCCGTCAGAGATGCCAATGATGGGCGGACGGTTGGAGAAATGCGAGGTAGCGCCACGCTTCTATCCAGGTGAGGCTTCTGTTTTTTGGGTGTTTGGGATATACCCTCCGGTAAACATACAAAAAGCTCTGGAAATTACCATCTTTACTAGGGAAATCAGATATAAATGGGCCATTTTCAATAGCTATGTTAAATTAACAGAGGGTAGTCAGATAGAATATTTGTTCAATTTCTTTAGGAGCATAGAACCTTGGATCTTAGGAACTGAATCATCAACTTCTGGAGATGACTTCTGCGTAGATCCCCGGCAGGTGATGCCTGCAGAGACTGCGGCTTTTCGGGTAGAAGTTTTAAGTCCATCAGTGCTGAGTTGGAGTTCAGCCTCTGGGGATTCTGTGACCTGCTGAATTCAGCATGTTGTTTCCTTGGCATTACCTTCTTGGTAATTTAACATAGCTATTGAAAATGGCCATAGAAATAGTGGATTTACCCATTGAAAATTGTGATTTTCCATAGTTATGTTCGTTTACCAGAGGGTATTTTCAACCAGGCCTTTCAGAAGTATTTGTTTGACTTAGCTATTCTAATTTTCTAGTTTGTAATCTTGGGGTATGGTCCACTGGAAGATGTGACAAGTGGATTGCATCGAACCTCCGCAAGGAGCCCTCCAAGCTCGTGGTTAGCTCCACTTCTTTAAGACATTTTAAGGCTTAAAGTTGGATTATTGCGTCGCCTAATCGCAACATTAAAAAAAAAAACACACACACAAAAACATCCAGATCTTGAAACATCAATGGGACTCAAGACCCCTCAGGTGAAGCTTGCCAGGACAAACTCTTTTTGCTTCAAACAGCTGAGTCGGAAACTGCCGGTGTGAGCCTGATTGCTCCCGGCTATCCATTTGCAGCCTTGTCACCGTATCACACTGTCCCCGTGGTCTACCCAGATGACACTCCATGGATTTCACCCTTTCACCTATTCTTGGCACATCAATTTCCAGAACACGATTGCCAAAAGTTCGTCCATAGCGCCGGTCTGGGAAGTTCGGTGCGATCTCTGACGGCCCTGTTGGACCAAGATCTGCTGCGGAACCGGTTGAACCGTGTCCGTGAGGATTGGCCTCATGGATGGGCGGTGAAGGCCATGAGACATGCGATTTTCCTGGCAGTGGAACAGCACCCTAGGTTGGCCGCGTTGCTGTTGGCCACAGGCACTTCGAGACTCATCTGCCTCTCGGAGAATTTCCTATGGGGAATGGAGCAGCAGGACAACGCCTTCCGCGGCGAGAATCTGATTGGAAAGATTTTAGAAGAGAAACGGGATCTGCTTACGTGATTCTGGAAGCTGCATTCAATATTCAGCAAACTGGTTGCATTCAGGGCCTTTTGGTTATTGGCGGGATACCTTTGAAGATGGGAACCGTAGAGATATTGGACAAACACCTAACCCAATGGGGCGACCAGAAAGGACAGAAGCCGTTTGTAGTTTACTACCGGATACTATCGGATAGTGCCTTCTTGGCAAGTACAATGGTCGAAGGAAGTTTAGAAGTCAAACTTCCGACAGATGAAAAGCAGAGCAGGGCAGAGGCAGAGAGAAGGGAAAAGATTAGAAGAGAGAAGAGTAGAAGAGAAAGAGTCAGAAGAAAGAAGATGCAGATGCGCGAAAAGGTAGGAAAGTCCCGATTCACTGTGTTTTTCCAATGATTTGTGTCTCCGGAGGGTCGAAAAGTAGGCTCGCTAAAGCGGCGGGTGCGGAGCCAGTTGGCCAGATGAAAGATGACAAATTGCACGCAGTTGTGGCGCGAAGCAGATTTCCAAGTCAAAATGTAACACACCATGCTCGGACCACTTTTGGAGGTTCAGACATCGAAAAAGTTCACGCCGTTGTGGCGCGAAGCAGATTTCGAAGTCAAAATGCTAAAAACACCAGGGGTTCGGACCACTTTTGGAGGTTCAGATGTCGCTTCGCGTGGCAGGCGCGAGGGATTGTGCACCTTGTCAAAAGTGAGCAAAACGTGAGGGTTTCGTAGCATTTTCAACTACAACCGCCACTACACCAGACTACACTCCAACACACTACACTCAATTACACTCAAGTAAGTACACTCAATCACACTACACTACATTTCACTACACTACACTCCACTACACTACACTACATTACACTACACTACACTACCTTCCACTACACTACATTACACTACACTAGATTACACTACACTACACTCCACTCTGCTACACTACACTACATTACACTACACTACACTACACTACCTTCCACTACACTTCACTACATTACACTACACTACACTCCACAACACTAAAACTACAACTACACAACTACATTCCACTACACTCCACTGCACTAAATTACACTACACTACGCTACAGTACACTACACTACACTACATTACATTACACTGAATGACACTGCACCACAGATAGACAGGTAGACAGATAGACAGATAGATAGATAGATAGACAGATAAACAGGTAGACAGCTAGACAGACAGACAGATAGACAGATGAAAGAGAGAGAGAGAGAGATAGATAGATAGATAGATGGCTAGACAGATTGATTGATTGCTGGATAGATAGATAGATAGATAGATAGACAGATAGATAGATAGATAGATGGATGGCTAGACAGATAGATGGCTAGACAGATAGATGGCTAGACAGACAGATAGATAGATAGAAAGATAGATAGATAGATAGATAGATGGACAGATAGACAGACAGACAAATAGATAGAGAGACAGCTAAATAGAAAGATAGATAGATAGATAGACAAATAGCTAGAAAACTAGACAGCTAGATAGATAGGTAGATAGATAGATAGGGAGATAGATAGACACACACACAGATAGATACGTAGACAGATAGATCAGTAGGTAGGTAGGTAGATAATCAGAGAAAGATAGAGAAACAGAGGGAAACAGAGAGAAAAAGAGAGAAAGAGAGGAGACCTCAAGCACTTTTCGGTCCATCAGTGGCTTCGCTCTGCCATCCCTGATTCACAACAACCAACCTCTGCTATAGGTTTCCTATTTTTGAAACTTCCGCCACGGCCTTGTGCGGTACTACTGGTATAAGTGTGCAAGTTATAGGTTAAGTTATAAGGATCTACTATGTCACTATGTCTATGTTCACTTGGTTCATCTTGGTTCGTTCGATTTTCTCGGACACGTTTTGGACCTCTGTGTCACAGAGGCGGTCCACTTCACTGGCGACGTCCAAGCGGGAAAGCAATGCAGTCAATCTACTTCCAGTATTTTGGCCAAGTTGGTTTAATGTTGGTAAAACAATGCCTTAAACCATCCAAATAATGTGATGGTTTATGGTTGCTTTACCCACATTCTGCCTCTTTCTTTTGATTGCTTTTTTGACGGGATGCTCTTGCAACTGGAGAGATCTGGAGAGTTTGGGTTAACGTGGGCTTGGGAACTTTAACGTGCATGTTTGTTTTCTCAGAAGGAGTGAGTTATGTTGGCGTATTTATTTCTTTATATATGAAGAAGCGGTTTTTGGTGTGTGAGAATCAAAGTAAATCCACGTCAATCCTCAAAAAAAACAGCATACATCCCATTGAAAAACGGTGGGCGTGAGATGGGCAAGCTGGCACCGTCGCAAGGCTCCAACGCGCAGTTTATGCCATTGAGAAGGGCCACAACTGGGGCCCGTTTCTGGATGAAAATTGGGTCAACTTGGGATGAGTAATGTTGTACTTCACAATTTTTGGAAGAGTAGATAGATATACCCTCTGGTAAACTAACATAACTATGGAAAATCAGCATTTTTAGTGGGAAAATCCACTATAAATGGCAATTTTCAATAGCTATGTTTGTTTACCAGAGGGTTTTATATATATATATGTGGATGATCTAAATATTAGCCAGCTAAAGCATCATTATTTGATGGATTAACCGGAATGAGCCGTGAAGAGAATGTTGATTTCCATGGCTAAAAAGGCTTGGGACGGGTTAGAGCCATGACCCCAGCACAACCGCCAGAGCTTCTGTAGTTTAATGGTTTCTCTTAGAATTTGGGAAGCTACATCTCAGAGCCTCAGAAATCCAGCATTGAAGCCCAAACATGACCATGTTGGCCATGTTGATTGGCCCAGCTGGTTTCAAATCTTTCTTATTTCCACCTTACCTATCCTTACCTGGTATGATTATGATCGCTGATGTTTTTCCCCCGAGTAGCTCAGGCCACCTCTGATTGGCCTGGTGCCCCATATGAGGTGGGCGATGGGGTGGGCATTTGCAGCAGAGTTGGTATCCAAATATATTATTCACATTACTGTAAGGCTGTATCCCATTCGTTCCCCTTGACTTGGGAATTTCAGTTAACAATTGCAAACTTGTAGCTTGAATCTTTAACCACAACGTGTTTGTAGAGTCTGGGTTCAGGACCCTTTGCTTATAGTGCTTCGCCCTCTTCAGGCGGACAGAAGCAGAATGCGTCCACTCTGTGTCCAGCCGTGTGCTGGTGCGAACCTGCGGGCGCAGCGGAAAATAATTGCACTTGTTGGCAGATTTGTTGGTTTTCTCTACCTGCCACAGGGACATCAAAGTAAAAACGGCAATTTTTCCATAGCAAGACTGTCTAAATTCTGGACCATGGAAAAAAAGAAGGTTCACTTTGTTTGTGCCCAGCTTTGTTTGGCACGACCAGTGGGCCCCGATCAAGCACTACGCAAAAACACTGCAGTGACCACCGGACACCATTGAAATGGTCCCTTATTCGGTAAGAGATTCCAGCAGTTGACGATATTCTGCAACTTTAGGGTAAACCAGGCTGAGAATTTCAACATAGGATGCCCATTTTCGCAGCCTCTAGCGGTTCGTAGAACGGAGTTTCAGACATCGAGAATGAGATTTCCACCTGCAAGAGCCCATAAGCCCAGACTTCTCCCTCATGATGCAAATCAATCTTCGAAAACAGGGATCAATTGGACATTGCTCGCTGCTAGCAGCTCCATATCCAAAGAAAAATGGCCAGGTTGATGCACCATCCGCTTGCCAGGTTGTCTAGACTTACCCAATTGCAGTGTTCCCAAGGGGCTTCAATAACCCCGCCGGCGTTTCCCACTTCGCCTGCCATGGGAAGTGCTGGCTCGGTGGCGGATAAGAACAGCCCCGACAGAGTGTCGAAAGAGCTGTGCAGTAGTGCCATCCAAGGTGGGCGCAGCTGAAAGCCGCAGATCTGGCCCTATATATATGCCAGTTATCTTAAGGTTTAAGTCACTGATAACTCCCCATTTATGGAATGATAACCTTATTTGCAACCATATTTATAGCAATTATATTTAACACTTTTTCCAATTATATCCATTTATAACCACTAAACAACCATGGTGTAACATATTTATGGCCACATTTACAACCACTATATCACCATATTTAACTATTTTTAACCATTAAACAACCATGGTATAACTTATTTGTATCCATTTACATCCATTTATAACATTAAAAGCCATTAAAAACCATGGTATAACCATTGTATAGCTGCTATTTGGGCATTTCTCCTCCGGCCAGCCATGCTGCAGGTGCCCACACCCGGGCGCAAGAGGAGGAGGCTCTGCGGGAAGCCTTTCGCACCTTTGATCGGGCATCTTGGATTGGTGTACAGAGGGAGAGAATTGTGGAATATCATGAAAATAATCAGTGGTAATATACTGATATAGTGGGATATAATGGGCTATATAGTGAACCATAGGAAAAATGTTGACGCCACCAACAAAAATGGTGCCATAATGGGAGATAATGATGATATATTTGGATAATTTATCACGATCGCACGTTGCGACCTCAATTGTAATAATGGTTAGGATTGGGGTAGCTATCCCAAAATAGCCAAAATTTTCTGATCAGTGAATTACTATAATTTGTCCAGATACCATAGAAAGAAAGGGTGAATATTGTGTAAATAATGATTACGTATAATGAACATATCATCTTCCCCAGCCAACCTTAGTTGATGTTAGTATGGCACAATAACCAACTGCATTGATATATGGATAATAATCGATATGAATAGTTATCTATAGTTAATGTAGTGGGATTATAATGGGATTATAATGGGATTAATGGTTATTAATAGTTTTCCCAACCTTGAAACCTGAAACCATGGGATAATAATGGGATACCCATCCAATGTGGGGAATATCATTCATGGGGATATTTTTTCCAATGGGAATATCATGGAAAATTGCTACATAATGGAAATATCACCATCTCCGACCAACCTTAGTTTATGTTAGTATTGCATAAGAACATTCCCAACCAACTGGATGGGTAGAAACTAATCCTGGATAGTTTTTTGGCTATATATGAATGGAAAAATAAGAAAGCAACCAGCAAAACAATTCCACTTCATAACTATGCTTTATAATGTTTGTAAAACGATAATAAACCACCTGTATTTGATTGAATTGCATATGTTGATGGTATACAATGTTGGTTTTCATGGGCTTCATATGGATTCATTGTTTTTCGACCCATAAAAACGGTGATGACCCATGAAAGTTAACCACGGATTACGGAACCACCATGTCCATTCAGCGAGGGCGCTTTGGATAAGGATTTCCCACCATTTTGGCGCACCCGCAATTAATCGTCAAGGTTGATTTCATCATTTAAGTCGTTTACCTAAACCAGGGCTGGCATTGGCTCGAGCATCAACGCCTTCAAGTTTCCAGGGGCGTTTGTTTTGACATCAACCCTCCAGTTCATGATGGCACTCACAGGCCTGGTAGGACCCATCATGAGTGTTGGGGTATTCTTCAGCCACCATGGCCGATGTTTGTGATAAAGATCCTTCATGTCATCAAGACATGCAAATCTTTGAATACTTGGTAATTATGTTGTTTCTACAGTAAAGTCATGAAGTTCACGCATACCAGCACGTCCAACTCAGAGAATCCACTTGTCATGTGGCAAGATGAATCAGCACTTGTCACTTGTAGTTTCTTTGTGTTGGTGACTTCGTGAGCCTTCAGTGGGAACAATGTAGAACACCATGCCTGGACGAGGCCTAATCATGTGACATGCCCGGTCATCATATCATCCGCTGGCACTTGAGGATGGAAATGGCGAGATCAGCAAGAAAGAGTTTCTTGATAGCAACTCCGGATGTGCTCCATTTGCGCTGAAGTGGGGATAATGGTGGTGGTGATGCTGGTGATAATGATCATCATGCTGCTGATGGTGATGGTGACGGACCTCCCCCCGAAAACGAAAACGAACTGAACAAAATATTGATCCAACTTGACGTGCCTCATGGCCCCTGTGCACCAGAGGTTCACCATGGTCCTGACGCACTTGACAAAGCTGAACAGGAAGTGGCGGCCTCAAGTGTAGAATAAGTTGAATATCCAGTTTCACGGAATAATGTGCACACGCTTTGCCTGCAATTCGAACAGAATGGCGCAAACAACACGTTTGAATATGTGAACCATATGTAGGTATACATAATCATGTTTCGTTGGGTTTGGTCCCATCTCTGATTTTGTTTCAAGGTTATTTGCAAGAGCGTAAAGTTGGCTTGCGAGATGTTGGAACCAGTTTTACCGCTGGCAGAGTTTGGAAATGCCAACGAATGCCAATCAGTTCTGTAGCGCTGTATCAGGGTACATTCTTTGATTGATCTTAACTCAACCATTTCTGTCCCATATTTTACCACCGGGGATTCACACAGATTTCCCCAACAGAACTTGGAAAATGCAACTTGGATTTCCAAGATGGCAGTGTCCAAGTCCAAGTGCAAAAGATCTAACATACCATCCTCGAAATCTTTCTAAATCAATTTCTAGTGGGCTCACTGTGACTTTTCGCAGGTATGGGATGGACCCCGGTGTCCTGACGTCGGGGCTCATTTTTGCCACCAGGTTTAGCCAGGAACAGCTGGAAAATCTCTTCGATGCAGCTGACAAAGACAAGGCGGGCTCAAAGGGTGTCCCAAGGATGCGAAAGACCCAGCATAAACGAACAGATTTTGACAGATTGTATTGTTCCCATGGGTGGGAAGTTATAACCAACTAGCCTTTGAAGGGTGGTCAGCTGCTATACAGCAATCTGGAGCATTGCAGTGGAACTAAATGACAAGTACAGGTGTACCTCAGTCTTCAGGCACAATCTACAATTCATCAACGCGAAAGTTTCCGGAACCAAAGCAATCATTTTGGGAATCGGTTTAGTATTGATTTTCAGATCTCACATTGGGATTGGCCCTCCACAGAGTCAGCCCTTGTCGCGTGCGGCAGGATGGAGCGATCCAATACGAGGAACTCGTCGCCTGGCTCTGTGATACGCCTTGCTTCTCACAGTGCCTCGGCGTTTTGAGATCTGGATGTTAATTGAAAATGATGGGATTTGGGGATTTGATGGATGATCCATTGGAATTGCCTTCCAAGTGGCGCTTTAATAACGACAACGATGATCAACTTAATGGAATTGTTTGTCAACCATAATACGGGATTTTAATATTCAAATGTGTTTGCTCCGACGTTTATTGGGATGACAAGTTTGGCAGTGATGATATTTGGGATGGGGAGCGCGCCCCTCGATGGATATTAAGACCCGAGGGTGACAAACCAGTGGATGGAATGGGGCACCATTTTTTCTGGGCGCAACTTCAATTAGATGTTGAAATTCACCCTTTCCAAGGAGAAGAAGACTTTAAATACGCCAAGTATGGAGTCAGGACCAAATGATTGTTTGAATCAGTTCCAGTTAGTTTGGCTGATTAAACAGTGGATCGCAGACCGAACCCCAGTGTAACCAGCAGAAATCAGAATCTTTGGCGCTTTCACGTATAAAAGCACAGATTTTAGAGCGGATGTGGATGCCTAGATACGATTTGATTTTCTCTTTGGCAACATCCAGTCATGTCCGCCACAGAAATTTAAAAGGCAATTCATCCGCAAGAATGGCGGCGCCATTTTGATCCATTTTGTGGAGGGTCATGGCACTTAGCCTTTTACATTAGAATCATTAGTATATTACTCGTTCGTAAATCCTATCGTCCTTCAACCCCTTCAATCATTGAGCATGCCTCTTTCTATAGTGAATATTGGCCATTACAGTGAGTATGTCTAAATTTCTACTGCATGCACTTAACTTAGTAAGTCCGATTAACCATCGATACTGTTTGTCACGTCCAATCACAAACAATGGCTATTCCAGGTACCTAAATTGGAGGATACAATATAAACTCATATAAAGTCAAATTTCAGGGGGTTCCCATACATAGGCTAAAAATATATAGGCTATATGGGCTAAAAATATATGGTAGGCACCTACAACAAATCAGTTCCTGAATTGGCCATTGCCATATTTAAAGTTCGATGATCCTCCACCGCTGGCGAGCTGGCGAGCCAGGTACTTCCGCGAGCTGGACCTGATCCAACGCGAGTAACATGGATTTTCCTTGAGGTCAAACGGTTTTGGACATCTTCCAAAGGTTGAATCCATCAAAAATGGAGAATGTGCGGTGTGGAAATAACAAC